TAAAGTCACCCCCTTCAAGGGAATTAGTAGGTTCGGCAGGAGGGAAAAATTAAACCCCAGATATATTGGACCCTTGAAATCTTAGACAAGATTGGTACCACTGCCTACAGACTTGCACTGCCTCCTGAGCTCTCCTGGGTTCATAATGTGTTTCATGTATCTATGCTACGTAAGTACAATCTGGACCCTTCTCATGTCTTGGCTCACGAACCGCTTCCACTCCGAGAGGACTTGTTTTATGAAGAAGTACCGGTCAGTATCACGGACCGAGAAAGCAGAATACTCCGCAACCGGAAACTATCATTTGTAAAAGTCATGTGGCAGAACCACACGCCCAGGGAGGCGACTTGGGAACTGGAATCAGAATTTAGGGCCCAATATCCCCATCTGTTTTATCAAGAGTAATGAGGCAAATTTGGGGACCAAATTTTTTTATGGGGGGGAGAGTTGTAGCGCCCGGACCGAGAAGAAAAAAAAAAAAAAAAAAGCCACGTCGGCAGCCACGTCAGCAGGCCCGGCCAACCGGGACCTGCCACGTGGCAAAACCATGTCGTTCCAAAAAGGGCCACGTTGGCGATCCGCGTGGGCGCGATCGGACGGCCCAGATTCAATCAAAAACGGACGGCCCAGATTAAAACAAAATGGACGGCTGAGATCAAAAGGCAAGGGGTTATAAATAGAACCCCCACATCAGACCACAAACCCTAGCCGCCTGCCGCTCGTCGGAGAAGACGAACCAGAAGCCGGCCGCCGCCACCCGCCGCCGCACCGGAGGAACTTTCGACCGCCGATCGAGGTAAATTTCGTATCTCGACTCATTTTTCCACGCTGATTCCTCCTGTGGCCAAATCGGAGCCAAAATCCCGGCCAAACGGCCGGAATGCACGGCCGAAGCCCAGCGGCGCCGCCGCGCCCTTCTCAGTTTTTGCCTCCGATGAGGCCCTTCCTGGCCTCCGTTTGATGCAATTTTTATATCACCGTGATCACCACTCTTTTCTCTACAGGTTGACCGGAGCCGAATCACCAAAACACGAACCTCGCCGGAGAGCCGCCGCACCCGAGAGCGCCGCCGCCGGTAAGCTCCGTTTTTTCGTGATTTTTTGGCCCCCCGAGGGCCCTAGGGTTGTTTTCTCGCAGGGACCGATGCGAGTGTGGCCGAATTCGGCCGGAAACGGCCGAAAACAGCCAACCCGAGGCGAATCGCCGCCGCCAGCGGCGGCGCCGTCGCCGGAGCACGGCGGAGCCGTCGTGCCGGAGTTGCGATTAGGGCCGAAAGGGGCCCTGGGCCTAATTTGGGATTTTTTTAGAACACGTGCAGGTACCAGTAGTGCGTTTCAGTTCCCCGAGGAAAATTCAGGGAAAATTAGGGACAGCCTGCAAGCGCACTGTGAAGCCGTGTTCGGACCCCGAAACGAGTAAGGACCCCTCACCTTATTTCCTATCACGGTTTTAAAGTTCAATAAATGATAAAACGATATTTCATGAATCAACGAATGTGTGAAATTGCTTAAGGTCGCTAATGGAGCCCAAGTCTAGTGTGTTTGTCGGTTAATTGTTATTTGGCCTGTTTTACAGTTTTAAACGTAGCATGAGGTTTGATGTTTTCATTTTATAGTTTCGTGTGCATGTTTTACTGTTTTATTGATTATGGATTAAATAACCGGGATATTGATGCTGTATGTTGTCTGCTTAGCATAAATTATCGTTTTGCTTGCTTGTATGTGGATTAATGATGCTGACTGAGGAAAAAGAGAATGAACAATTATGTAAATGGATAATGGTATAATGTGGTCAGCCTGACTAGATATCCTGGGAGATGGTGGACGGACCGGGTCCGTAGGGAACCCTATCGGGATTGTGGTCTCCCATACCGGACGGGGTATGGAGATCTTATGTGTTTTGGCGCCCATACCGGACGGGGTATGGGGACGGCCCGTTTCACCCTCATACCGGACGGGGTAATGAGGTCTATGGTTTGGCGCCCATACCGGACGGGGTATGGGGACGGCCCTGGAATTTGATTTCAAGTGTTAAGGATTAACGGGTAGCAGGACCTCTATGGATCCCCATGGATACTAGTGGGCTGGTGAATTAGGAAAATATGTTGTGTAACGATTGAATTACGAAAAGTGTGATAGGTATTATCTTATACAGTTCATATATATGTTTCCATGATGATGATGATGTTATTGCTTTCGTATATTGTTTTATGAATTTCACCGAGGTAAGTAAATGGTAAAGGTTTTATTTATCAATAAAAGGATTTGTTGTAAATTATGCTCCATTGGTTGTTTTGTGTTTTCTACTCACCTTTACCTCCGTGACGGTGAGATATCGTGATGTCTTTACTGGGCTAGTGTAGCTCATTCCTTATTTAATCATTTCAGATCAAGAGGACATCGTTCCCGAGCCGATTCCGCAGGAGGACGACGAAGGGGACGCCTAAAGACTCCATAGTCACATTCGTAGTTTTTACTTTCAAGTTTCTCCTTTAGGTAGTTTAATCTTTTATATTTTGTTAGCACGTTTCGGTTTTAGTGTAAGGGATGTTATTCAAATTTTGACTTCGCTTCCGCATTTGATATTTATAATATAAATTCAATTACGAATTTTCAGGGCTGCTACATATATTTTTTTTTATAAGAAATTTAGTTATTTTTTAGCAAAAGTTTATGTTTTTTTACGGAGAAACGTAATTTTTTAACAATATTAATTTATACAACACTATAACACTAGGGATGAAGATAATGTTAAATTACTAATAGTACATAATTAATAATGAAAATTTCTAAATTGATAAAAATGTTCAGAGATCATAGGCAAAACATAGTTATAAATATATTATAATTAATAGTTCTCATCAATTTTCAAGGTTTTAATTCAAACACTCTAATAAAGTACTAGGAATGATTACCACTTAATTAAATGTTTGGATCATTTTCAAGATTAGTTGATAATTAAAAATGATTTCATATATTTCATATACGAAATATCTTAATTATTATATATTAACGTGAACATTTTACATTATTTTTAGAATAAATTAATTTAGAGAAAAAAAATGGTGAGTAAAAATTTTTGAAGGGTAAAATTAAACCTCTTTTTAAAATTCTTGCCGACCGTTAAAGCGAGAAACCCTCTTCAATATGAATTTCAATGCAAAAGGCAGGAGACTTTCATGGTGTCTCTTGCTGTGATGAGATGTAATGGACTCAATCACAAGTTATCAATCACACCATGCCCGATTTCTCTCTTCTACACAACGATACATTTTCCCTTCTTTTCCAGAATACTCCTTTACCATACTGATTATGATGATTCTTTTTCTTCTTCATCACCACCACCGGCGCTATTACTATCACCAACTCAATCTATTGTCAAATCAATTTGTTCACTGGTCTGTCAGTCTTATTCTCAACAGTCCCATGTGAGATTATCACCTCCAAGGGTCAACCTTAGTGTTGAAGCCGATTCTTTAACCCACGAACAGGCTATCACAGTCGTTGCTTCACTTGCAAGTGAAGCTGGTTCAATAGTTGCCTTGAGTTTCTTCTACTGGGCAATTGGGTTCACTAGGTTTCGATATTTCATGAGATTATATATAGTTTGTGCCGATTCTTTACTTCATAATGGGAATTTGGACAGAGCTCATGAGGTGATGCAGTGCATGGTGAGGAGTTTTGCTGAGATTGGGAGGTTGAATGAGGCTGTTAGCATGGTTTTTGAGATGCAAAACCAGGGTTTATCACCGAGTACTGGGACCTTAAATTGTGTTCTAAGGGTTGCTAGTGAAATGGGACTGATGGAATATGCGCACAAAGTGTTCGAAGAAATGTGTGAAAGAGGAGTGTTTCCTGATCGTACTACCTATAAGTTGATGGTGATGGGTTGCTGTAGAGCAGGGAGGATTTTGGAGGCTGATAGGTGGTTGAGTGAAATGATAGGAAGTGGTTTTATTGCTGATAATGCTATGTGCACTCTGGTTATTAGTGCTTTTTGTGAGAAAGGCTTTGTAAATAGAGCATTGTGGTATTTTAAGAAGATGACTGAGATGGGTTTGGTGCCTAACTTGATAAATTTCACGTCTTTGATAAGTGGTTTATGCAAAAGGGGAAGTATTAAACAAGCCTTTGAAATGTTGGAGGAAATGGTTAGGAAAGGTTGGAAGCCTAATGTGTATACACATACTTGTTTGATTGATGGCCTCTGCAAAAAAGGATGGACTGAAAAAGCATTTAGGCTGTTCCTTAAGCTAGTTCGTAGTGATAGTTACAAGCCAAACGTGCACACTTATACTTCCATGATCAGTGGGTACTGTAAGGAGGATAAACTGAATCGGGCAGAGATGCTGTTGTGTAAGATGAAAGAGCAGGGATTAGCTCCTAACACCAATACATATACTACTCTCATTGATGGCCACTGTAAAGCTGGGAATTTTGAAAGAGCTTATGAGTTGATGGATTTGATGCCTAATGAAGGTCTCACTCCAAATATTTGCACATACAATGCAATCATTGATGGCCTCTGTAAAAAGGGGAAAGTACATGAGGCTTATAGAGTGCTTAAAAGGGGCTTTTGTTATGGGCTGCAAGCCGATCGAGTTACATACACCATTCTAATATCTGCTTACTGCAACCGAGTTAATACTAGGCAAGGCCTGGCATTTTTCTGTGAAATGATGAAACTTGGCCTAAAACCTGATATGCATTCTTACACTGTATTGATTACTGCCTTCTGTAGGCAAAAGAGAATGAAAGAAAGTGAGAGACTTTTTGAAGAAGCTGTCATGCTTGACATGGTTCCGACTAAGGAAACTTATACATCAATGATATGTGGATACTGTAGAGATGGAAATATTGGTTTGGCCATAAAGTTATTCCATAGAATGAGCGAACATGGGTGTGCACCTGATAATATCACATACGGAGCTCTGATAAGTGGACTATGCAAAGAATCCAAGTTGGAAGAAGCTTGTCAGCTATATGAAACAATGCTAGACAGGGGACTGTCTCCTTGTGAAGTTACTCGGCTGACTTTGGCATATGAGTATTGCAAGAAAGACGATTCCGCTACTGCCATGGTTATCCTGGAAAGGCTAGACAGGAAACTTTGGATTCGCACAGTCAATACCTTGGTAAGGAAACTTTGTAGTGAGAAGAAAGTAGGCAAGGCAGTATTATTTTTGAACAAATTGTTGGATAAGGAACGTAAATTGGATCGTGTGACCTTGGCAGCATTTATGACTGCATGCTATGATAGCAATAAGTATGCTCTTGTCGCTGACTTGTCTGAAAAGATTTCCAAAGGAATTGGTTAGCAGATCCCAAATGTGTCTAGAGAAAATGATTGTACACTTTTTTGATTGACAAAATAGCTACAATAAGGAATTCAAGAATAGTTGAATGGCCTTTCTATTGAACCACGAGAAGTAGTTGATGGTTTTGATGCTTCTTCCTTATCCAAGAGAAGGGTTTTGGTGCCTATTTCCTTCTTCAGAAATCTCCTTAACAATATTATATCTCAATGCATATTGATTTGTTGGGCAAGCATCTTTTTGTAATTGTCATAAGAGGTGCTATTATGGTGGTGCTCTATTATATTTGTAAATCAAGTATAAAATAAAAATGCTGCATGCTTTCCATAAATTGTCTTTTTTTGAATCTCCATGAAGTAATTTGGTTTTCTTCTCTTTCTCAAGAAGCTTATTGCTCATTTTGAATTGGAACTTGATACAAGTATGATTCTGTGCATGTATTTATATTAGATTTAGTACATAATGTCCTTGGTTTATCTCCATTGAAGATGTCACGAACAATTAATGATAATTCTCATTGAAGAGAAGTAGCATTTACATGTTAAAAGTTCTGGAGGGTATTTGGAATTGATGAAA